TTATTATATAACCAGAGTTCCTTTATGAAAATGCAAATATATGTTCCCTTTCCTATTCTTAAGGGCTTTATAGCTAATATAGCATATACTTTCTTTTGCACCTTGATTTTTTCCACTTAAGTTTATATTGGAGAGCTTTGAATATTATTATAGAGAGAGGTTTTGAAAACACTTTTCACATTAACATGACATTCTATCATGTTCTAGTAGTGCTGCATATTTAGCCAATTATTTATTGATGAATAATTAGGTTATTTGTAAATTTTTCCTATTTACAATGTTACAATAAAAACTTTTATATATGCCTTTTAGGTGTGTGTATGATTACCAAATGGCTTAGAAAAATAGTATCCCTTCAAGTATTGGATCTGAAATCTCATCCTTTCTGAGTGAAAATTGAAGTCAAGATTATAAGAAGAATGCAGAAAGCAGACTGGATGAAGTGATGGAGGTCTCCATATTTATATCTATCAATGACTCTATCTATCTATCTGTCTACCATTTATGATCTTATTTGGACCTTGAACATCCCCCAATGTCCTATGTGTCAAAAGTTTAATACACGCTGGAGTTGGTAGAGTGACTCAAGCTGTAGAGCACCTGCCTAGCAAGCATGAGACTGTGAGTTCAATCCCCAGTACCACGACCAAAAAAAAATTTCAGGAAGACAATGAATAAAGGCTGAAAATGTCATAACAATTTTATTTAAGTTCAATTCCCAGCTTGAGGTGGTGGAAACTTTAAGAGATGGGGATTAATGGAAGTTCTTCCAGTCATTGGGTGTATGCTGTTGCAAAAGATTGTGAGAACCTGGCCCCTTTTCTTCCATATGCTATCAAGAGTATGATTTTGCTATGACATGCACTCTGACCATGATGTGCTGCCTCCCTCCCCAGGAGACTAATGGGCTGAAACCAACCAAACTGTGAAATGAAATAAACTTTTCTGTATATTAGTGGATTTATCTCTGGTATTTGTTACAATAATGAAAATATGATTATCAAAGGTGGGTAGGTGGGAGAGTCATTGCTGTCACTGTACCTAAAGCGATGTGTAGAAGCCTTTAGAACTGGCTTCTTTGAAGAGTTTGGAAAAATTTAGAAAAGCAGATGAGAGTAAATTTACAAAGCTGTTAGTAATTCTGGTGAAAGCTCAAAAGATCAGAATGCTAATAGAAATGCGGACATGCTCACGAGGTTCCACAAGATAATAAGAACTCTCAACAATTGTACTAAAGTCTGTGTTACACCATGGCAAAGAATTTGATGTATTGTTTGTGCCCTGACATTTTGTGGGAAACTGAACTTGCAGGTGGCACACGAGTTTACAAAATTTCAAGCCAGCAAAGCATTCACACAGCAGTGCTTTCATTTTCTGCCATTATCCAGATTTATAGTGAGAATCAGGAGGAATGAGGAATTAAGGAGAAAAAGGAAAACTTGCAGCTTGTCCAGTAAAGGAATGTATTTGAAGGTGCATTCAAGGACTGTGCAGTTGCTAAAGATATTAGCATTGTAAAAAAAGAAGCCAAGAGCTTTGCACTGGGGCAATAGTTATGAAGCCTGGAAGGCATTTAAGAAATTAACAAGATCAGAGCTATCTCAGACTCAGACATTCAGAAATGCTAATTTATTTCAAAGACTTTTGAGGGTAGAGTTTTGAAGAGATCCCAAGTGTCCTTTGCTTTCCCAAGATGACCTAAGCCAGGAAGGCACTCAGAGTCTGTGCAGCTATGGTTCAAGCAAGCTCAGGTATAGCTTATGCTGACAACAGACCATGGCATTGTGCACACGTAGTGCATACTGTGTTTGCAGGCATGAAGAATGCAAGAGTTATGGGATCATTAATGATTCCACTGTGATTTTAAAGGACAACCTGGGAGATCTGGCAGTGTATGGCAGAATTAGAGCCCCTGAAGAGGCTCCTGACACAGTAATATGTGGAGCTGTAAGAGTGAAGCTAAAGCTATAGTGGAGACCTCAGAAAGTTAGAGATACCAGAAACATGGATAACTTTTGAGGGAAACTACAGTCCTACATGCAAAGTTAGCCTAAGACAGTGGCCATGGCCATGTAGACTTCAAATAACAAAGCCTTAGGGACAAGGGCTTCCCAAGCCCACCTCCTGCCCCAATGTGCCCTGGATGCTCCACAAGAAGTACTAGTATTTAATGTTTTACCTGCTGGATTTCAGTATTGCTTTGGTCTAATTACTCCTTGCTATTTTCCTGTTTCCAGCTTGTGGAATAGAAATGTTTACCCATCTCAGAAGTATGCAATTTTATTTTTGACTTCTTCTAGGATCTCACAGCTAAAAGTTTGTCTTGAGTCTCAGAGCAGGATTTAGAATTGGAATTTTGAGCAATTCTGTAACAATTAAAACTTTGGGGACTCTTGGACTGAATGCATGTACCATTATAAGGTGAACATGAGCCTTTTAGTGACAAACTATAATTTGGATCTTATGTGTCCAATCAAAGCCCATGTATTAAAAGTTTAGTCCCTACCTTGGCATTATTGAGAAGTGATGCAAACTTCGAGTTGGCAGTCTAGTGAGAAGTCTTCTGATCATACTTAGGCACACCCTTCAGGGGATATTTGGACCCTGGCCCCTTCCTTCTCCTCTTTATTTCACATCCCTGCCAGTGAATGGCTTTACTACATGTACATGCTCCTTCCATGATGTGCTAGCCCTCACCATAGGTCTAAAAAACAATGGATCTACTCATGCACTGAAACCTCCAAAACTAAGCCAAAATGAACCTTTTCTGTCTATGAGTTGGTTAATCCAACATATTACAGTAATAGAAAACTAACACAATCTATATATCTTTATTCTTTCCACACTACTGTCCTGCTCCCAGGAAAGAATATGACAGGCAAGTTAATAGCATACTCATATGTAAAATGAACTATAAATGTATTATTCTCACATTGGCATTTTCAGTTTATCAGTAATTGATAGAACAATAATGCCACCATTTTATAAATTAGCGGCCATTTTATCCTCAGGTCTCACCTCTTGGAAAATGGAGCCATTCCCAATAAACAAGCCCTGCCCTTTAACAAGATTTCCCTTGCTCCCACACAAGCTCCATCCAAGCTCCACCCCCATCAGGGACCCCTGCTCATGCATCAACCCCTTATCCTTCCTCTTCTATAAAAGGCCATGCCTGACCCAAACTCGCTCTCTTCCAGTGCCATCTTTCCTGGGTCAGCCAGATGGCTCGTGCCTGCCATTAAACCCTGCTCTTGGACGTGAGTTTTTCTCATTAGCTTTCTTTGTGAGTGGCATTTTTTCTAACAGTAATGAAATAGAAAAGGTCTAAAGGTAAAGGATTAAACTTAGAACTGCGTATGTATATGTGTGTGGGATAAGGGTGTTAAAAATTATTCAGTGACCCTTGTTGAAGATGGTAAGCAGACTTCGTTCAAGGGAGACTATCATGATAGGTGTAAGGACCACAGCAATGGGGTCCTATAGTGGAGGAAAGAGGTTGCTCTCAACTCTGAATATAGCACAGATAAGTGGGAATTTATAGCTAAGGAGAATTGTCAGTGAATGGAAAGTTACTAAGAAAAACATTAAACGTAAGGTAGGATTCTGATTAAACTGATGCAAAAAAATTTCTAGGGTGAACAGATGTCACCTGGGAGGAAGAAAAGGGTGATTAGATATTGAGGGTGGGAGTTCTTATTAAACTGACTTTGTAAGATTCTTGTTACAACTGTATTTTATAAGGAAGTTACCAGATAAGCTGAGATGTAATATTTGGTTAAGCAAAGAATTGGTGTCTGGTGTTACTATCTTCATAATAGCATTCTTTTCTTTTAAGGGTATGAAAGCATCTGGTTCCTTTCATTTTCTGTTCACTCATTCAAATGCTAAGTAAAAAAGATGATTAACAATATATGATAAGGAATTCCAAAGAATGGTTGTTATATTTTAACCCAAACTCAGAAATGGTTCTAGAATGAGCTCCAGACCATGCAGTAAAATGTTTCATTATTTTAGTCTGAGTACTTCAGGCATTTAGTAAATAAAAACCATATTTGTATAAATCACCTTCAAAAGTATATGTAAGGGATACACCCAAAAGAATGTGATTCAGGATATTATAAAGGCACCTGCACACCCATGTTTATTGCAGCACTATTCACAATAATCAAGTTATGGAAACAGCCAAGATGCCCCACTACTGATGAGTGGATTAAAAAAATGTGATATTTATGAACAATGGAATTTTACTCAGCCACAAAGAAGAAAGAAATTTATTCATTCACAGGAAAATGGATGGAACTGGAGAACATCATATTAAGTGAAGTTAGTCAGGCTCAGGAAAGCCAAAAACCACATGCTCTCCCTCATATGTGGATTAAAGACCGAAAACAAGTGCAGCAATGTTATCGGACATGTGCCACACGCTGAGGGGAAGCTGTGCATGGGAGAAATAGAGAAAGGGAAGGAAACAAAAAACTTGAATGTAGTTGATATGCTTACTGTATAAGAGTGAGTACAGTAATCTTAAACTGGCAGAGGCCACTATGGGAAGGGAACTAGGAAGTAATGAAGAGGTCTGGTAGAAATGAACCAATTTGGGTTATGATACACGTATGCATGGAAACAACTCAAGGAATCTCCCTGTATAGCTATCCTTATCTCAAACTAGCAAAACACTATGTTTTTCTTTTTATCTTCTATATTTTGTCTTCAACAAAATAAAAGAACAAGAGAGTGGAACAAGTTTTGCCTGGAGGTGGGGTGTGGTTGCGGTGGAGAGGGTGGGGGGGTGGGGAGGTGGTCCAATAATATATATACATATAAGTAAATGTAAAAAAAGATAAAATAAATTTTTTAAAAGTGTATGTTAAAAAAAAAGCTCTTGGTATTCATGCAGGACTTGTTTTTATTTATTACAGTTCCACAGAAGTAGAGATGCTCATTTGAGAGTAGTTTACACTGGTAAGGCCATTCTGTGAAACCATGTACTCAGCTGTTCTTTAAAGTAGCTTGTGAATCCACTGTGCTTCAGGCTGAGGAATAAAGTAGAAAGATGAAAATAAAAAGTAAAATTTCATTAATTATAGAGACTATCTGATATGCTAATGACTACACTAAACAAAATGTCATAGATGGAAGGAAACTAGGATATGGTTTTTCTTGTTGCTTCTTAAAAATGCAAGTCCTTGGACTCCATCCCAGATCTACCAACTCTCTGGAGTCCAGCAATGTGCCTGACAACAAGCCCCTGAGCGACTCTAATGACCAATGAAGAATGAGAAGTAACAAATGGTAATCTGTTCCTCACTAATTGGTTAAGCATCAAAGCCCATCAATGTCACATTGTTAGTCTAAGCTTTCACTACTTTAGCAGTCTAGAATTTTTTCAAATTGAAAATATAATGTAAAAATATATTAAAAGTAAATGATAGTACTTCCAAATGCCGCAACTTTAATACAAATATTTTCACAAGTATAGATTACTGTGTAGTCTTTGTCCACAAGTATATAGAATTTTTTCTTAGTTGCAATGTCAAAGTATTTTACCTGTTTCTTTCTTTTACCATTACAATCTTTTTCTTCTAAACCTCTGGTCTTCATCATTATCATTTAAATGAATGTATATTGTTGCTTCATATTTTGCTAAATCATTCTCCTAATTTTATAAATATAGCTTAATTCCAAAGTTTCTCTCTTACATTGCATTAATGATCATTCTGAAGAATTTTTTTCTTTAATGTTTTTTATCACAATCCATTTCTAATAGTGAAATTACTGTGTCAAATACTATTGTCTCATTTATGACTCTTCCTACATATCACCATGTTAGGCCCAGGGGAAGGGTAAGCCAGATTATTTCCTCTTTGCAGGCAGCAGTGAATAAATGTGCCCATCACTGAACATAAATAAAACATAGAATATTATATTTGATATATTCATATAATTAATATATATGATGTATTTTGTGAATTTATTAGATGATAAATGATCTCACAGGGTTGCTTTTATTGCTACCCATGGTCATGATGTTTTCATCATTTTGGAGTCAGTAAAGATTGAATGCAGGGCCTCACACATAGTAGGCAATAACTCTGTCTATGAGCCACACCCCAACCAATGATTTTGTTTCTTATAATTAATTCTTCCTGCATAAATTACATTTCTATTTTTGACCTTTTATTAAAAATATCTTGGTTTTATTTTCAGAAATGTGTCTCTTCACCAACAGTCTTGATTCACAGTTTTACTTCCCTACATCATGTTTCTCAAACAAATGGGACAAAGTGTTGGCTAGATATAGCATTAAATATATATGGGATAACTTCTACCTACATATTGTGTATAGAAATGCCACATTCTAAAGCATTTCACATTATCTCACATCCAAACATTTGACATTCACTCACTTAGATTTTTGGCTTTAAGATCTTATAGACTTCTGTTAAACTACAGTTATTATTAAATAAGTAATCAAGACAAATCTGACACCTTAGCGACATTCCCTGATTGACAGATCAGGGAATGGTAATATGTGATGGGATTTTTTTTCCATACAAGAAAGAATTTTAGAAAAGTCCAGAAAATACAGTATTGTATAAAGAAGGAAGATTTTGGAATTTGAGTTTGTTTTTGACAGTCAGAGGTCAACAAGAAGACATGAAACTTCATAGTGGATGAGGAGGAAGAGGTAGACTAATTGCATACTTGCTTATGGCACAGCAAATAGCAGCATAGTAACATGGTTTGAAACAGGAAAATATGTGATTAATAAAAGCATTGAAGAAGTTACCATGTTTATCTTCCTTCCATCTATTTTACAATTTAGTATTTCTTAAATAAATTTATTGTGGAGAGGTGACACAATATGCTATTACTGATGTTATGTCCCTTACATTTTTATCATGCCTACTATTGCAGTTCTTCCCTCAGTTAACACTATCTTTCAGCATCATAATCTAATGTTCCATCTCATAGTACAATTTTACAGTTGGTTAATTGGGTATTCATGGATAGATCCTTTTTTACTGCTTCTGCCTGTCAAAATCTTGCTGAACTTTCATGATTCAGGACAAATATTTTGAAAGAAAAAATAAATTCATGAAGTGGGCACATTAAAAATTCATACTACCTAGTTTCATGTGTTTATATTATTGCCCAGTAATTCATTTATTCCTTAATAATTGTAGAAGAAATGTTACATTTACTTATTCTACAAATATTGAATGCCAGTCACTTTTAAAGTTTCATATATATTAGTAAACAAAGCAAATAATTTGTCCTCATGTAGCTTACTTTATAACCAAAGGTATATAACATTTACAATCAACATAATAAATAAGTAAATTATATAGTAGAAGGAAAAAATTCTTTACTTATTGTTTAATGAGTGTTTTCATCCTAAATAAATGTTGAAGTTTATAAAATAACTAGTATTAAGGCTTATTCCACTTTTCTATTTTTAAGAAACAGGGTAGATGAGAAAAGAATGCAAAAGTTGAGTACTTATATATCGAGTATTCCTATTCTCTACTAAGACCACTTTCTTGTGTGAAGACAATTAAAACACAAGTTACAGACATTTTTATTTCTTGGGGATAAGAGTTTAAATTCTTTGAATGAAATAGGCAAATAAATGTGTGATTTCACTATTTAGCAGTATGCCTGACCCAGAATATTTTCTCAAACATTTTCTGATAGATGAAACAGAGAAAATAAGATGGGTGATTCAACTGACTACCACAAAAATCCCAGTATAAACTTTTAAATTATAAAATACAAGTGTATGGCTTGCTGTGGCAAAGTCTCAAATTTAAGCAATCAACAAATACCCATTAATCATCTTCAACAGCAATGCTCTTTGTGATATGGCTAATAAAAGATTTTGTTCCATGCTACTGAGGGTTTTTCAGTTTGTCTAGAAGACAATATTAATATCAACCCAACAAAGAACAAAGCATTGTAGTTTTTGAGGGGAAGTTATATTTGAGGACAATAACTCCAACAGAATGGAAAAATAATTGAAGGAAAAGATAGTAATATATATGAAGATATAAAGGCAATAACAGATGAAATAAAGGCATATAAAATGATGTGATATTTGTAAATTCTTTTTTAATCTCTTTCTTATTTAAATGTATGGAAACATTGTTATCATGAGTATTATTATTAATTGCAGAATATTTTACATGAATATCTCTTCCTACCCCATCTGCACATAATTGTACACATACAAATACTAGTAAATTATAGATTTAAATCACAAATCCACTTTTCCTGATTTCCTGCAAGTTAGAAATTGATTGGTTTAGTATATGGAATAAAACATATGTGTTTGGATGAGAGAATAGTCTAGGGATGTAGTTTTCTAAATGCATACAGAGAAGCAAGAATGGAAGTTATAATAATATAGGAACATAATCAGCATTGAATATCAAGACAGACTTTTTGAGAGTACGTGAAGAAAAGATAGCTCTAATTTAAAAAATTAATATATGATATGCAAATGCTAATCTGTACATGTATTATAAACCAAAAAAACCACTTTAGAATATAAGATCAAGGAGATTTCCACTCAAATAGAAGAAGAAACAGAAGCCCCTTGAGAAGGGCAAAGAAGAGAACAGAAAGGAGAAGAAATAGGAAGCAATGAATGAAAATGAGAAACTTATGGTCAAGACCTAATCATATCTATAGATGCCCTGAGTTTAACATGACAGAGGACATCTGTCCTACTATACTGAGCTCAGACAATGAATAAGTGAAAGCAAAGGAAAAAGGCCTATGATGCCCAAAAGTCATGCAAATACATTGCACCTCAACCAAATATCAAAGAGATCCAGAAAAGGAAGATACTATATGAAGCAAAAACTCCTTCTTCTAAAGTAAGTTATCAATATTTCTCCTCAAAATCAGACTATGTGGGAAAGGGAGATAGAAGAATTAATCTTCTAGATGAGAAAAAGAGAAACTACAAATTGACAGAGAACCCCAAGAAGATGAATTTATCCTGAAGGAGAGGGGATTTAATTACTTCTGGAAAGTTTTCTGACATCAGTAAGGATCAGGGCTCATGAAAAGTTTAGTTAAGATTCGTATTAAATAACTTAATTTTTGGATATCTGAATCTTGGTATGTTATATTTCCACCTGTCATGTCTGGATTTTTAAAATTGAGCTTTTAATATATTGGCCAACTTCCTAAGAAATGTCTCTATAATTCACTTAAATCTGTCCTTGTAGGAATTTTAGTCAAATTTATTTGTTTTCCCTTAGTATAGAACAGTTAACCATTTTTGTAAAATGATCCTATTTACAGGTAAATAAAATGTTTACTTAAACCACAATCCACTTCTCCCTGTTTTAGTTTAAAAAAAATTCCTTTCTCTTAAATACTTATCATTTGTTTTGCAACTCACGAGTTTTTTAAAGTGCTCTTCAAACACAACCTAACAGAACCTATGGGATACAGCAAAGGCAGTCCTAAGAGTAAAGTTTATAGTCATGAGTGCATACAGTAAAAGGACAGAAGGATCTCAAATAAGTGGCTTAATGTTACATCTCAAACTCCTAGAAAAACAAGAACAAGCAAAACCCAAATCTAGCAGAAGGAGAGAAATTATAAAAAATAAGGGCCAAAATTAATGAAATAGAGACCAAAACAACCATACAAAGAATTAACGAAACAAAAAGCTGGTTCTTTGAAGCAATAAACAAGATTGACAGACCCCTGGCAAATCTGACTACAATGAGGAGGGAAAAGACCCAAATCAGTAAAATCAGAAACACAAAAGTGGAGATAACAACACACCAGGGAAATCCAGGGAATCATCAGAGACTACTTTGAGAACCTATATTCCAATAAATTTAAAAATCTTGAAATGGACAAATTTCTAGATACTTATGACCATCCAAAACTGAACCAGGAGGGTATTAACCACCTAAACAGATCTATAACATGAAATGAAATTGAAGCAGCAATAAAGAGTCTCCCAAAAAAGAAAAGTCTAGGATCTGATGGATTCTCTGCTGAATTCTATCAGACCTTGAAAGAAGAACTAATTAATACCAACTCTCCTTAAACTTTTCCATGAAATATAAATGGAAGGAACACTGCCTAACTCATTCTATGAAGCCAGCATTACACTCATCCCAAAACCAGATGAAGACACCTCCAAAAGGAAGAACTACAGGCCAATCTCCTTAATGAACATTTATGCAAATATCCTCAATAAAATAAGGCAAATGAACCCAACAACATTTCAGAAGAATCATTCACCATGACCAAGTCAGGTTCATCCCAAAGATGCAGGGATGGTTCAACATAAGCAAATCAATAACCATAATACAGCACATTAATAGAAGCAAAGACAAAAACCACTTGATCACCTCAATAGATGCAGAAAAATCCTTTGATAAGATTCAAAACCACTTCATGATAAAAGCTCTAAGAAAACTAGGAATACAAGCCAACATCGTACTTAATGGAGAAAAACTGAAACCATTTCCCCTAAAATCAAGAATGAGACAAGGATGCCTACTATCCCCACTCCAATTCAACATAGTCCTGCAATTCAGAGCCAGAGCAATAAGGCGATAAGAAGTATTAAAAGGCATACAAATAGGTAAAGAAACTGTCAAAGTATCCCTATTTGTAGATGACAAGATCTTATACCTCAATGACCCAAAAAACTCTACGCAAAACCTCCTAGACACCATAAACACTTTCAGCAATGTGGCAGGATACAAAATCAACTTACAAAAATCATTAGCTTTTGTATATACCAACAATGAACAAATTGAAAAAGAATATATGAAAATAATTCCACTTAAAATGCCTCAAAAAAAGTAAATACTTAGGAGTAAACTTAACAAAGGATGTGAATGACCAACTACAAACCTCTGAAGAATGAGAATGAGGAAGACTACAGAAGGTGGAAAGATCTCCCATGCTCATGGGTTGGCAGAATCCATATAGTAAAAATGGCTATACTACGAAAAACAATCTACATGTTCAACACAATTCCCATCAAAATCCCAATGACATTCGTCACAGAGATTGAGAAATCTATCCTAAAGTTCATTTGGAAACACAAGAGATCATGAATAACCAAGGCAATACTGAGCAAAAGGAACAATGTTGGAGGTATCACAATACCTGAGTTCAAAGTATATTACAGAGCCATAGCAATAAAAATAGCATGGTACCGGCACAAAAACAGATATGAAGACCAGTGGAACAGAATAGAAGACCTGGATATGAATCCACACAGCTATGCCCACCTTATTTTTGAGCAAGGTGCCAAAAACATATGATGGAGAATATACAGCCTTTCAACAAATGCTGCTGGGAAAGGTGGTTATCTGCCTACAGAAAACTGAAATTAGATCCATGTTTATCACCCTGTACTAGTACCAACTGAAAGTGGATTAAGGACCTTAACATCAGATCTGAAACTCTGAAGTTAGTATAGGACGGAGCAGGAAACACTCTGGAAGTAATAGGTATAGGCAAGGACTTCTTCAGTAGAACTCCAGCAGCTCAGCAACTAGGAGAAAGGATGGACAAATGGGACTACATGAGATTAAAAAGCTTCTGCACAGAAAAGGAAATGGTCTCTAAACTGAAGAAACCACCCACAGAGTAGGTAAAAATATTTGCTGGTTATACATTGGACAAAGGACTGATAAGCAGAATATACAGGGAGCTCAAAAAAGTATACTCCGCCCAAATCAATGAACTAATAAAGAAGTGGGCAAGTGAACTAAACAGAAATTTTTCAAAGAAGAAATCCAAATGGTCAAAAAACACATGGAAAAATGCTCACCATCCCTGGCCATAAAGGAAATGCCACACTAAGATTGCACCTCACCCCTGGTAGAATAGCTATCATCCAAAACACCAACAACAATGAATGTTGGTGAGGATGTGGGAAAAAAGGAACCCACATACACTGCTGGTGGGAATATAAGCTAGCACATTCACTTTGGAAAACAATATGGAGGCTTCTTAAAAACTAAACATAGATCTGTGATATAATCCATCAATACCACTCCTGGGGATATACCCAAAGGAATGTGACTCAGGTTACTCCAAAGGCACCTGCACACTCATGTTTATTGCAGCACTATTCACAATAGCCAAATTATGCAAACAGCCAAGATGCCCCACTACCAATGAACGTATTAAGAAAACATGATATTTATGTACAATGGAATTTTACTCAGCCACAGAGAATGAAATTTTGTCATTTGCAAGTAAAAGGATGGAACTGGAGAACACCATTTTAAGCAAAGTTAGTCAGGCTCAGAAGGCCAAAAATCGTATGTTCTCCTTCATGTGCAGACTTTAGGCCTAAAACAAATGCAGTGATAGTATTGGGTATGGGTCACACGCTAAGGGGAGAACATGTACAGGAAGAATAGGGAAAGGGAAGGAAACCTAAAACTTGAATGTGTTTGATGTGCCCACTGTATAGGAGTGAATAAAGTAATCTTAAACTGGCAGATGCCACTATGGGAAGGTGACCGGGAAGTAGTGAAGAGGTCTGGTAGAGATGTACCAATTTGGGTTGTCATACACATGAGCTTGGAAGCAATGCTAGGAATCTCTCTGTATAGCTATCTATAACTCAAGCTTGCAAAAATGCTATGTCTTTCTTATTATCGCTTATGTTTTCTCTTCAAAAAATTTGGAGAAGAGGACAGAACAGGTTCTGCCAGGAAGTGAGGGGGTGGAGGTGAGAAGGAGGGGGTAGGTGCAGGGGGAGAGATGGCCCAATGTATGCACATATGAATAAATGAATAAACAATAAAAAATAATGTGTTCTTCATCCTTCTTACCCCTGAATCTCAAACATGGCCAATATTATATTAAAAGAAAACCATTATTTGGAGAATATTATGTATTCAGATTTTTAAAATGTTTCTCTTTGAAATCCAATTTGGCTTAAAAATAAAATAGGTATAAACATACCAAAGGAGCATATCTTGGTTTTGGAGGTGGAGGCGGTATCTTGCACCGACAGAGACGTTTGACCTTAGGTGATGCTAGAAAAGGCTCACAAGGAGGGAGTGGTGGTCTTTGTCTTGATGGAAGAACTCTACCTACAGTTATTTTTTTGCCTGTTTCATCAAAAGTAGTCTTTTTGGATGACATTCTAAATCCTATCCTTCCTTCTGATACTACTTTCTTCAAATCTGTGGATGGGCCATCTGAATCATCAGCTTTCTTTTGAGATTTGGCTTGTGAACCTTTGATCACTGTGGCTTTCTTTGTACCTGCCTTGGAAGACTCATCAGATTCAGCATCAGTAGATACCGTGTCCTTCTTTGCATCCTTCTTGTCCTCCTTTTTGGCACCTTTCTTTTCTTTTGACTCTTTCTTAACCTTCTTTAACTCCAAATCAGTCTCACTTTCAGTTGACTCTGCCATCTTCTTTGTATCTTTCTTTTTGTCACTTTTTTTTTTCTTCTCATCTTTCTTACGATCTTTTGAATCACCTTCAGATTCAGAGTCAGCATCAGTAGACTCTGCATCTTTCTTGCCAGGTTTCTTTTTATCATCTTTCTTTTCCTTCTTTTCATATTTCTTACCCTTCTTTGACTCCACTTCAGATTCAGAATCAGTAGAGACTGCATCTTTCTTTGCATCTTTCTTCTTTCCATCTTTCTTTGAACCTTTCTTATCTTTCTTTGTATCTTTTGAGTCTCCAGATTCTGTATCACTAGACTCTGCCTTCTTCTTTACATCTTTTTTCTTGTCATCTTTCTTAGTATCTTTCTTATCTTTCTTTGCATCTTTTGACTCTCCAGTTTCTGCATCACTAGACTCTGCATTCTTCTTTGCGTCTTTTTTCTTGTCATCTTTCTTTGAACCTTTCTTATCCTTCTTTGCATCTTTCTTTGCATCTTTTGTTTCTCCAGATTCAGCATCAGAGCTCTTCTTTGCATCCTTCTTTGTGTCCTTCTTTGGAGATTTCTTTGAATTGTTCTGTGAGTAATTTGTTAACCATGTATCCACATTTGTGGATTCCGTACCAGACTCCTCTAAACATACCACATTCACATTCACACTAGTTATTGAGCAAGTTTCTGGTTTGTTATCAGAATTTTCTTTTAAGACTTTCTTAAAATCTTTCTTTTGATTGTTTCTAGTACATATGGATTCACTATCTGTCTCCTTGGAATTTTTTGAATCTTTTTTATCTTTTTTTGACTCTAACTTTGAGACTGCCTTAGAAGCTGTGGATGCAGGATTTGTTTCTGATTTGGATTTTGACTTCTTAAATAGTTTGCTTTCATGTGATGATTTTGATGAAGTTTTACCTGATTTATTTCTTCTTTCATGTTTGTCATCTTTTACCATTTTCTTGAATTCTGAATTTGTTGCATGCAGGCCAGATTTTTTCTTGGACTCTTCCTTCAAAGTTGTTCTTTTTGTACCGTTTTCAGACCTTTTAGCTTCTGCTTTTATAGGATGGATATTGGGAGAATGAGGGTGTGTGAATGGAGCTTTTATCTTGACAGCTAGAGAAATGGATGGTTTTTGAAAAATTTTTCTTAAAGAATGCCTTATCCATGTATGAGCTGGCTTTTGATCTTTCTCTGTTTCTTTTTCATCTTGCCTCTGAAAAGATATGTTAAAATTATGCTATGAATTTGTGAATGAGTTGTATTTTTATGTTGTAAACAGAGTTTATTTTTTCACCAAGTATTTAATATTGGAAAATAATTACTGGTTTTTCTCAATTGTGTATGTGTGTGTGTGTGTGTGTGCAAAAACTCTCCTTAAGCTTCCCTTAACAATTCATATTATGATTCAAAAAGGCCCACAATGATCCATGACATTCTAGGGCTTGTCTTCCAACTAACAGTGAATTCCTTTTGAAGTTCCATTTGAAATATTTTGCACACCCGTCCTCCCAAAGTTAGTCAGACATAAGATGAGTTCCTTGAAGTTTGTCATGAAAATTCTTGTTACAGTTGTAGGTAATATTTAGGCCTTCCCTGATTTCCATTCCTATTTTCAAGTTGTCAGATCCACTTGAGGACCTGAGACCCCCTGCAGTGAAATACTGCAGAAACAAGAAAATAAACAAACATTTCCTCTACATTAATTTGTGTTGCACCATTTTGATTTATTTTCAATTCAAAGTGAGATATTTAGCAAATCTGGTTGTTCTATGTGGCCACAATGACTAATTTTGGATTTGCCTCTTATACTATTTCAGGTATCCAGTAGGCCCCAACAATGAAATTGCCATAGGTGATACAAAGGGAGATTATGAACAGAAGCATAAAACCTGGATCACTAAACATATATTAAATGTCTTTGAATAAATGCATTGAATGTAACTTTGTTTTGGGAGATTCTTTAAGATATTTTTGTATCACATACTACAATCCATGCATGCAAATTTTTCTTTTAGCTAATTGATATAACTCCACTTTACAGAAGCAATAGAAAATGTAAATCTCCTTATATAAAGTATCCTGAATTTCAGATTAAAGAAGATACAGGTCTTGAAACTTTAAGATTAACTAGTGCTCTAAGATTCAAATTTTAGATATGTTTTCAGATGATAAGCATTTCCTGATAGGTACCACCGGTTGCAACATTAGGTTCTCCAGCTTGCCTAACTTAGTAGCTACATGACTTTGATGTAGAGTATCACATATAAATAAAAGTTTAATGTGAAACGAATGGTAGCAATCTGTTTTGCAGAGAATTATGAATTTAAAAAACTGATTCTAGAAAATAAAATTCAGTTTATATATGCCTTATTTATATTTATGTATTGTATAAACTTAGATTTAGTTCAAAAATGATCTTTTTTCAACACTTACAGGAACTGTGATTTGTAATTCTGAAGGTCTTGATCTCTCTTTTTTACCTAGCATAGGTGGTTTTGGAAATATCAAAGTAAAGTATTCTTGATCCTGTGATTTTACAGCAGTTTCACCGACTAAAATGAGAAAGGAGAGTAAGCAAGTTGGAGTTAAGAGGTAGATTGAATAATTGCTTAAATATTTTTGAATATGAAACATATAATTTAAATCAAACTAAGTTATAACTCAAAATACAGCTTTTATTTTTAGAGATTCTAGTTTATTTGTAATGCAATTAGGGAAAGTAAAGATCAATTTTGCCAGTTAGCACTGAATTATGTTTAAAATATCTTTTGTAAATTTATTTTTTACGTTAAATCAATTTCATGTATTTTTCCTAAATCATGATGGTAAAATAGTAAGAATGAAAAATAAAGATTCTCTGTTTTCTTTCAAATGCCTCCATTCTATCCTGTGTCTTGATTTCTTATTCTTATGTCATCTTGTTTAGATGGCAGACAATATTATTTCTTCTACACTTCCTATAATAACTAGCAGAATACTAAACATAAAGTAATCTGTAAAATTCTTGATTATTAGAACTGAGTGTTTTAGCACTCTCCTAATATCAATGGCATCCTAAGTTACAGAAATTAGGGCTATAGGCCCAAATTCTGCATTTAGTTCTAGAAACTCTTGTATGTAGAATTGCATGCACACACTTTAAGGCATTCAGAATTGAGTACTAAAGATCAAACTGTATGGAAACTATGTCACTAGAGGAACTGGGTACAAAATTCAAGGGAGCTCTTCTGAAGATAAGAAGCTGATAAAATATGTGATTGCTCTATGAAGATAGTTAAAGAGCTGCTATATAAGAGAATTATGTAGTGCTTACTATGCTCCAGATTATGTTCTAAGTACCTTATACAAGTCAACTCATGTATAGCATTGTATGCAAATTTCAGCTCAATATGTTAAGAACTTTCCTGAACTTGCACCTATTCAACAGATCAGTGGTTCACTAACTAATTTCATATCTATTAACTATATTTGCCTTCTCCAATTTAGATTTTGTAATTGTGAAGTTTGAATAGAAGGAGAATGTATGAAAGCAAAATTGGTTAATCATATGAAGAGAACAAACTAAATCTTTAATTTAAAATCAGATTATACAAAGTTACATCACATGCCCCAACATACACATATATCAATACACATACACATGTCTATGTAAATTTTAACAATAATTCAAGACAGTTTTTGCTTTATCATATTTAAGAGTATACTAATCATTTGTTGAAAAATTAATTTTGAAAGGGAAAAAATGAATTTCAAAGACTGTATTCTTACTCAGATAGGAATTAGCATATATTCTGATGTTTACTTCTTGCCTGTAAAAATAAAGAAAATGTTTTAATGGAATTTATACTATGGGTAATCATCATCACTATGAATAGTGTTTCAGTAGCAACACTTTGAAATCTCTTATGCATTCTCATCATCAAGTTCTTAAACATAAAACAAAATAAAACAGTGAAATGTATTTACATTTGAGTCAAACTATTTTCGCTTCCTAAGTAAAGCTGTAGTACCCAGCACAAAGCCTATCTCATATTCATCATTAAATAAATACTTACATATTACAAAGTTTAAAGACACTGAGTAATAAAATATTGAATCCAGTGGTTTCCAACTAGAGCTAAAAATCAGAATTACTTTTGCTTTTTTTGAAAATCAAATTTTGTTTTTGATTTATCATGCACTAATAATATGTGGGAATTTCATTGTCATAATTCCATTCATGTGTACAGTATACCTTGAAGAAGTTAACCCCCTGCATTATATTCCCATTCTTCCTCTCCTTCTTACCCCCCCACTCTTTCAAACAGTCTTTGGTGGGTATCATTATGCTCTCTCCATAAACACACACACATAAACACACACACACACACAAACACACACATATACACACACACATATAAACACAAACACATCTGAGAACTGATCCTTGACCCATGAATCAGAATCTTTAGGTTGGGTTAATCAAGTGTGCATTTAAGAATTCTCCCATATGATGTTGGTACTCAGATACTTAGCTGTGGTTAATAACTACTACTCTGAATATTCTTGAAAACAGAAATTTTGTAAATTTTTATAAACAGATTTTATAAATAGCTCAACTTTTCTCTCATTTTCCAATGAAATTGATCAGTGACTTACTAATTTGTGGTAAGACTAAATTAATTCAATAGAGTAGCTAGAAGATATGACAAGCTTCATCTCTGGAAATTTAATATGTTATTACACTGCCATACTGGCTGAATAGCTACCTTCCATACTCCTGGAGAAAAATCTTGTTCTAGAATTGATTTTTTCTAAAGTTGTGTTTTCTAAATTTTCCATTTCAAAATTTTTTATTAGTAAACCATTTTAAGCACATCAACTCATTTTTATGCACGCATAATTTACAATTTATTGTAAGCCTTGCATTAGAAATCATGCTTTAATATTTGTTGGCCCTGGAGACTCAGTCCAGGCCTATCCCACCATCAAGCTGGCCTTAACTGCCTCAAACTGCAGAATTTCCCCAGCACCAGGACAGCCCCCACAGACTCAAGCTCCAGGTCTGATTCATTAACAGGCTGCACACTCACTGTCCTAGTCACCAGTTAAGCACTTAGATCTTGTTAATGCTTTGGCTCCAGATATCAGACTGCTCCCAGTACTGGTCTGGCCCCCATATACCCAAATTTCAGGCTTGCCATAGTCCCAGGGTGGCTTCTACAGTCAAAGACTCCAAGAGGGCTCTCATAAATCCAGGCCCAGGCTGGCCCCTGAAGCTACAGGCATCAGGCCAGTATCCATAGATCTAGACTTCAGGCCAGTCCCCATGAATATGGACTAGAGGGCCAGCCAGTACAAGTCCAACCTCTGAAGTCCTAGACTGGCTAGCTTAGTGTTAGGCCAGATGACATTGCCCAAGCCTTCAGGCTCACACAACTGCTAGGCCAACACTCACAGTTCAAAACTCCATGCTAGGACCCTTGAGCCCAGCCTCCATCCCCACATTATCACCAGGATGACACTCGTGGACTGTGCCCCTGATCTAGCATGTGACTGCTCATACCAAACTAGCATCTGTAGATCAAGCCTTCAGAGAGAGTTCCCAAGACTCAGAATCAAGGGCTGCCCAGTTCCAGGCAGGGCTTCTGAGCCCTGGACTATAGGCCAACCCATGCAACTCTACATTCTAGCAGATTTGGGTCCAGCCTGATTCCATTAGATTCCAAATGCCAGGATGACCATCGTGTGCCAGGCCACATGACCACACTTATGTACCCAGGTTCCAAGTTATCTTCCATGACCCCATGCTCCAGACCTGTAATCATGGACTCAGCTTCTAGGCCAGTCCCTGCAAGTATAGGCTATAGGTATTCCCAGGACCAACCTAGGTCCTATGGTAGAGATTTCAGGTTAGCCTAAGTACCTGTCTTACCCACATGGTCTCAGGATTCAGAAATAAGCTAGAGACAGGCCAGACCCCACAATCTAAGACCCTAAACCTATATGCATGCATCTTGCCTCCAACCCCATTCCAGCACCAGGTTAGTACTTGAAAACCTCAGATACAGGCATGAATCTATTACTACAGGCATTAGGCTGGCATGTCCGGGCCCTGTCTCCAGACTAACCCTTATAGTCACAAACTATAGGCCAACTCAGTGCCAGGCTAGACTCTGTGGCTTCCAACTGGTCCTTTGGACTGTGTTCCAACAGAAACACAGTCTCAAGGCCCATGCAAGTAGATTCTGGCACTGAGCCAGCCCCATGGACCCAGGCACCAAAAATTTCCTTGAAGAACCAGGATTTGGGCTATATTCACAGACCCAGCCTCCAGATTGGCCTCCCTCACTCAGGCAATAGGATTTTCCAAATATCAGGTCAGAAAAACACTCTAGGCTATTCCAAATGACCATAGGTACTAGGCAGTCATGGTCCAGACTTTATACTCAAAATGCATGATCTTCTTGGAGACCCTGACATTTAGGGACGACCATGCAGAGTGAGGCTTTAGGATGTCCTCTAAAGATCCATGCCATGGAATGAGCATGGTGAGCCTCTATGGATCCAGGCCACAGGCCCATACCCACATACTCAGGCTCCTAGCCCACCCCAGTGCATTATAGCCCCTATGGACACAAGCTCAAAGCTGACCTCCATGGACTCAAGTTCAAGGGACATCCCAGCACCTCACCATCCCCTACAGATTCAGGTTCATGTTTCATTCCAGTACTAGGTCAGATCCTGTGGACCTAGGCTTCACACCAAGTCCCATAGACTAGGCTCCAAGGTTACCTCCATGATCCCAGGAATCAGGTCCACATACCTGTTGACCCAACCACTGAGCCAGCCTGTATGAGAACTACAGTAGCAAGAAACACAATGCTGACATAGAGAACTTCAATAACAGAATGCATCAAGCAGAAAGAAGGATCAATGATTGGTGAAGGCAGGTCATATTAAATTGGTAATCAATGAAACAAAAAGAAAAACAACTGAAACAGTAAAAATTACTATTAGAGCTATGAAATCCTATCAAGCAACCAATATGCATTTTATTGGTGCTCCAGAAAGAGCCAAGAAAGTGGAAGGGACAGAAGCTTATTTAAAGAAATAAGGATTTTTGGTCTTCTGAGCCTGTTCTCTAGTCAAAAATCATATATCCTCCCTCATATGTGGACTTTAGATCTAGGGCAAGTACAGAAATGTGGTTGGACTTGGATCACATGACAAGGGGAAAGCGCATATGGGATATATGGGAATAAGTAGAAAACCCAAAACATGAAAGTATTTGATATCCCCACTCTAGAAGAACTAATACAGAAACCTTAAAGTGTCAGAGGTCAACATGAGAAGGGGATCAGGAACCAGTATAAAGATCAGTTAGAGATGAATCAACGTGGGTTGTAACACATTTGTACATGAAAGCAATGGTAGGAATCTCTCTATATAGCTATCCTTAACTCAAATAGCAAAAAATACTTTTGTCTTCCTTATTATGCTTATGTCTTCTCTTCAACAAAATTATAGATAAGGGCAGAACAGGTTCTGCCTGGGAGCTAGTGGGGAGAGGAGGAGAAGTTGGGGGAGAGGGGCAGGGGGGAGAAATGACCCAAACAATGTGTGCACATGTGAATAAATGAATAAAAAAAAGAAATAAGTACAGAAAATTTCTCATATCTGGAGAGGGAGAGAAATGAACACACAATTCCAGAATGTCCAAACAACCACAAATAGATTTGACATAAAGAGATCTTCATGAAGACATATAACTAAGGTCTCAAAAGCCAAAGATGAGATAAAAATTGAAAACAGCAAGAGAAAAACAACTTATGTTAAAACATATAAACAAGTTTCTTAGTATAAATAAAGAATAAATCACAAGTGTGGAGCAAGATGGTGGATTAGAAACATTACCCATTTAACTCTGAAGTAGATGAGTCTAGGTAACAAATGAGAGATTATCTTCTGAAGAAAGAGAAGAAAAGAGTCAAGGACCATGCAAGAGGTGACAGGATAGCTGAAAATCATAGAGAAATAAGTAATAGAGAAAAGTAGAAAATATTCCAAAACTCAACTCTTATTCCCAGATGCCAAACTCACAGCCATAAGGTAATTCAGATGACTCTGGCAAAAGACCAGACATGCTAGCTGCAGGATAATCTCACATTTGATGAAAGCATTAAGCCCAGTGCAGGGACTTCATGTGACATTGACTGCTCCAATGTAGCCAACTAGCTTCAGGAAAAATAGTCGTTTTGTTACTCCTCTTATCTCAGAGAGCTATAGCTCTCATTTTGATAGAAAGCCTATTGTTAGAGTCTGAGATGTTCTGGGGACTTGAAAACAAGGAACAATCACAGAATTTGGAATATTCTGTCAGTGTCTGGGTGGAAGATAGCTAGAAGAGTTGGTCATTGAGAGAGAGGGTCTGATGTGGCCCTATTGGGAAGTTTAAGCAGTAGAGTGCTCAGGCAGTGATGGATATGGTGGCTGTTGGCTCTGCCCTCTCTGACAAGGAATAAGTCCCATTAACTGAGGATAATTGAGGAAACAAAGCACTGAGTCCACAGCTCATGGAGTGCTTGACCTCCAAGAGCTGCCTTCTGCCTATGTGTATATGTTATCAGGCAGGATTGAGAGCTCTAAGGCCCCATCCAATGAATCACATGATATCCGTAGCCCTCCCTACTCAGAGTGTTGAACTGCTGGCAGGGTCTGGATATAGAGACTGGCCTCTGGGAACTGCCTTCCAGCTGTGTGCATTTGTAGTCAAATGAGACTGAGAGCTCTGAGCCCAGGTCCTGAGAGCCACATGATTTCTCCAGTCTCCTCTCTCCTATAGGATAGGAACTCCTGGGTAAAGTCTTAAACCACTGAATATATACCCAGAGTACCCAGGTCCCTCCGTTATCTGCCTGCAGTACAGTTCTCTGTTTGCTTCCCCCAGTTTCTTATCATTCAAGGAACAACTATAAGCTTGGATTCTTGCTGTCACTGGTAAACAAACTGTGAGACTTGTGGAGCAGGTGGGAACGTGCAAAGCCCACAGGCCCCAAAGTTCCTTGTGGCCAGCAAAGACTCCCATAAAGAAAGAATGAAAGCTTCTAAACTGAAAGCATCCCAAAAGCATACAACTGACCATTGACTGGTGCCAAGTTTAGCCCACATACACACCAACTTGTACACTGGGAATTAGTAGACTCCAGTTATTTTTGTGCTAGGGATTGGACCTGGTGCCTTGAACATTTGGGTGAACATTTTGCTACTGAGTTATATCCCCAGTCAAGTGGTAAGAAATTGCATCTCAACCCTGCTATTACATAATCCTGCTTGAACTTTAAGAATTCTTCAACTGAAAACTAAAGGAAATCAAAACTTCCAACCAAAGCCATGGCCTCAGATGTGGAAATCGTAATGTAGATACACAAGAAGTATGAGAAAACAATGCAACATGACTCTTTTAAAAGTCAACTTAACAGTAGCAGACATTAAAGATAGAGAAGTGAATGAAATCCAAGACAAAGAATTCAAAAGAACGATTATAAAAAATGATCAAAGTAAATAAAGGACATGTATAAATGCCTGAATGAATTCTAAGAGAATGCAAATAAATGGGTGAATGAAATAAGAAAGACAATGCAAGACATAAAAGAATTTGAAAAAGATGCAGAAATCATGAAAAAATCAAATTGAATTTCTTGAAACAAAATGTTCAATAAATCAAATAAAAACTCAGGCAAAAGCTTTATCAATAGACTGGATGAAGTTGAAAACAGAGTATCAGGGCTTGAAGACAAGGTAGAAGAATGAGAACACTATAGTAAAGGTAAAGAAAAAGTAACAAAATGTGAACCGAATATACAGACTATAGACATCTGGGACTCCATTAAAAAACCACCCCTAAAAGTCTATAAATTTTGGGCATAGAAGAAGGAGAAGTGGTGCATGCTAAAGGGATAGAAAACATATCCAATAAATTAATAGCAGAAGATTCCTCAAATTTGGGAAAGAGATGATCATCTGGGTGCAGCAGGCTTTTAGGAAACCAAACACATAAAATCAGAAAAAAATCTCTCTAAGGTATATGATTGTTTAAACATTAAGTATACAGAACAAGGGAAGAATACTGAAAGCTATTAGAGGGAGGTGCCAAGTCACATATAAAGTCAAACTCGACATAAACTCCAAAATCAGTGAGGGTATGGAATGATATATTGCAAATGCTGAAGGACAATAACTGCCAGCCAATATATAAATGCAGCAAAGATGCTAATAAAAATTGAAGGAGAAATTAAAACTTTCCATAATAAGTAAAAAAAAAAATAAAGAATTCATGGCCAGTAAGCCAGCACTACAGAAAGTACACAAATGAATCATAAATACAGAAAAAGAAGATAAATGTAACCATGAAAATATGGGAAAAATAAATCTCATTAAGTGAATAAATGAGCAAATGAAGACTGAGAAGAATCAAATCATAAAACAACAAGAAAATGATAGGAATTACTACATATCTTTCAATAATAACCCTGAAAGTTAATGGTCTCAATTCTTTAATCAAAAGACAATGACTGCTGGACTATGTATTAGAAAACTATCACACCACTCATTGCCTAAAAGAATGAATTTGCCTAAGGTACAGGAAGATATTTCAAGCAAATGGAGCCAGAAAGCAAGCAGGAGTAGCTATGTTCATCTGACAATGAGAATTCAAAGCAAAACTAGTTACAAGAGACAAAAAAGGCAACTTCATATTGAAAAAGAGAACAATTCATTGAGAAGACATAACAATTCTAAATGTATATGCACTGAGGGCTCATGTAATATCATAAAAAAGTAACACTGGACATAAAAGCAGAGATACACTCCAACATGATAATAGTGACTGACTTTAACACCTACCTAATAGATCATTCAGACAAAAAAAACCCACAAAGAAGCTATAGAATTAAGTGACAATATTGATCAAACAGAATTAATAGACATGTACACAATATTCTGCCAAGAGCTGCAAAACACAGATTCTTCTCAGCAGCATACAGAATATTTGAGATACAACAAAGGAAGTGGTAAGTGGCAAATGTATAGGAATGAGTGCATTCATAGAGCAGAGAGATTACAAATACATAACCTAAGGATGCATCTCAATCTCTTACACACAAGAACATGCCAAACCCTAAAGCAGTAGATGGAAAGAAATAATAGACATCAGAGCAGAAATTAATGAAATGAAGATAAAAATACAAATAACTAATTAAATGAAGATTGACAAACCCTTTGGTAATCTAAACAAAAGAAAGAAATAGAAGATACAAATTGATAAAATTAGAGGCAACAAAGGATGTGTCACAATGTGTACCAATGAAATTCAGAGGATCATTAAGGAATACTTTGAAAACATATGTTCTTATACATATATTATAAGAAACTCTAGAGGAATTGGACAAATTTCAAGAGGCATATAGCTTAACAAAATTGAACCAAGGGCATATAAGCCACTTAAATTGTTCTATAACAAGCAACAGGACTAAAGCAGAAATAATCTCCCAACAAAGAAAAGCTCAGAATTCACTGCTGAATTCTACCAGACCTCTAAAGAAGAACTAAACCAATACACAAACTATTCTACAATATAGAAAGGGAAGGAATGCTGTTGAACTCATTTTATCAAGCCATCCCTTATACCACAATCAGCTAAAGAAACAACCCAAAGGAAAATTATACTCCAATTCCCTTGATGAACATAGACACAAAATTACTCAATAAAATATTTGCAAACCAAATTCAACAACATGATAAAAAATCATACAACATGATCAAGTTTTCATTCTAGTGTTGCAAGAATGGTTCAATATATACAAATCAATAAACACAATACAGTATATAAGTCAAGGACAAATCAAGGACAAAAATC